GGCAGTTAATGTGTGAGATGTCATCCAAGCCCCAGGCTTTCAGGCTCCTGTGCTGTTTAATTCTCTGCAGGATGGTCTCATAGATCACAAAGACTGCGCTGTTACTAACCCGGCCTCTTTCTGTCTCTGAGGCCGCCTTTAAACCTTCATCCTCGCTCTGCCATCCTCCACTGTGATTTACAAACATTTTAGTCTATCGAGCTCATAGCAGACCTCAAAGGCCACCGGGTAATGAATCACCAAGCTAAGGCTGGCTCCGATTGCAGTTGCGGAGACACTGGGGAGACTCAGAAAGAGACCACATTAGTGTTGCATGACCCTCTTGGTCTCGCAGAGGTGAGAGAGGACAGAAAGCAAAGCTGTAAATTTGCACGTGGCCCGAGCACCTATTACTGCAGAGAGGACGTTTCTGCCTCTGTGACTTATTACTGCACCGGGGATATGAGTGAGTCAGCCTTTTTATAGCTCATCTGATTTCGTCTTTCTTAGGTGCCTCAAGGAAGGACCAGCCCTCGTTTACACTGAAGCAGGTGAGCTACCTGTGTGAGCGCCTGCTCAAAGACCACGAGGAGAAGATCCGGGAGGAGTATGAACAGATCCTTAACACAAAACTTGCAGGTAAGAATGTCTGAAAATAGTCCATGAAACCATATGACTTTAGCGTCAACACTCACAGCTCACAACAACTGCACTTTTTTTTTTTTTTACAAACGTCACTGTGTAATGGAAACATCCTGCCCCATCCCTCATGAGTATCTTTTATGTCATAAACAAGGATGTTTGCCATGTTGGCATTCGTTGTTCCCACAGAGTTTATATACGCTTCTCAGAGCCAAGACTGTAAACCGGCACTGAGTGACGCTGTATTATAGCAGCTGTAGTGAACACGTGCTGTAAGATGGTGTTGTCAATATTAAGATTGTAAATTCTAAAAAGAAACATTATCGCGCTGTTTTGTCTCTCTATCGCCACTAAGCTGCTTTTGTAAGACAATGCGCGATGTGTACGTGAAGCCTGTCATTAGTAGGTCAAAGTTATGTTTTGTCACCTCAGACTTTTTTGGCGACAGTACAGCTGTTGGCGTTGAGCCACATGAAGGTTACTTCCCTTTTGTAAACGGTTTGATCAGCAGTTTGAGAATGACTGCTGGTTGATGAGTATTTATGAACATCAGCACTTCTTCTTTCTGACAACATAAGTATGAAAGTATGATAAAAGTACAAGTGTGTAAGTGAGAGCAATGGCTGTACATCACAAGTTTGATTGTGTTTCAGTACAATCTAAGTGAAGATGAGCTGTGAGCAGATCTCTTCATTAAAGGTCTTGAAGTGTGGATGCAAGTTATGTTTTCACATCACATGAAAACCATAGAAAAAGTCCAGCGACGACCCATCTTTAGTCATGACCAGCTTCACACTCCCTCACCTCCGTCTTCTTCTCTCTCCAGAACAATATGAATCTTTTGTGAAATTCACACAAGACCAGATCATGCGAAGATACGGAGCCCGGCCTGCAAGTTGTAAGGACCATTCTCTTCTTTCTCCGTCATCGCATGAATTTCTTTTTTTAGTCTGTGTTCTCAGTCAAAAAAATGATGATCTAATTTCCGATATCAATCATCTCATGTGTTCCAGATGTCTCCTGAGCTCACATCAGCGAGATCCCAGCTTCCCCTCACAAGATGGCTGCTCTTCTACTGCCTCCTTCCAGTTGATTTACATTTTATTTCCCTAACACCCCCCCTTCCCCTCCTCTCCCCTCCCCTCCCCTCCCTTCTCAAACAGTTGGGTGCCATGGTTTATCCACTTTTTAATCCAAAAGTTGGTTTCTTACTTCAAAACTATTGCTGCTGGCCAAATGTTAGAAGAATTTGAAAGATAAACTGTGTATGAAGCCCGCCTTCTTTCCCCCCCTACACCTTTATTTCTCGTCGATTTGCTCTTTCCGGATATCCTGACTAAAGCAGATGTGTGTCAGATCTCTTGCCGGCGCTGTAGAAAAAAAGCTTATTGGCTCGTGATCATTCTGTTATAACCTTCCAGCAGCTGTATTTAATGGCTCCTGCTTATCACCTTGCCCCACTTTTCTTGCCTCCTCTCCCCCCACCCACCTCTCCTCCCTCCTCACAACTCTTTACCTGAGAATGTGGATTTTTCTCCCTTTTGAAAAAAATAAAAGTTCGGTGACTAAAGTCTGCCGTCTTGGATGTTTATTTATAGCGAGATTTGTACTGTTTGTAATTTGGTTAATAGCTAAAATGGTCACATTACGGTCAATACAGTAGCTATTCTGAAACTGGAATTATACCGGTAGCCTCGTAACATCTAGGATTGTTGATATAAGCATCTGGAACTCCCACCTAGTCAGTCAGACCTGATGAAGCCTCTTGGATGAGAGGTGAAACGTCTTCAAGTCCAGTTGCTACGATTAATCCACGAGAATAGGATTATAGTCATTAATTTCAGTGTTTCTGTGCATTTAAAGGATTTTTAGCTATATCTCGATCAAGCATGACCACAGCAGAAACTGTCAATTAACAGACGTTACTATTTTAATGATGTATTTATTGTTTGGGTCATTTTTCATACAATTTTTCAAGTCACAAGCCTTTTCAGTTTTACAGATTGCAAATTGAACATGTGGGTTGTGCACTTCACTTCAGATAATACAGGATATTCTAAGTTGTCACCTTTTCAAATGCAAAATTATAATTCAGGGCAAATTAAGTATAATTGACAGTTGTGGCAATAATCTGACCAGGCAGAAATGGTTAATTGGAATAAGATGGTTGGTTAATCATAAGGATTTCTGGCCTGTGTTCTTTCATGCATAGGCATAGATTTCAGGGGGATGCATTCTTCCCCCCACCACCAGTAAAACCACAGAACAGGACTTATTTTTTAAAAAAAACATTAGTTACCCAAAGATGCAAATAAAAAAACCTCTGACAAGGACAGGTCATTCTTCCCAAACTGAATTATAGTATGAGTTATGAGCTCATGCAACCACTGAATGTTTAGTGGCAAGTGTAATTATCCCCACCATTTGATCAGTGTCTTAGTGGGTTCTGGCCAAAATGTGTTGTATTCTTGTTTTCAGTCACAACATATTTGAAATGATTTGAAATGAACAGGATTCCTAAAAAAAAATCACTCCAAAACACAGATATGTGTGATATGTTTGGAATGTGTGGAAAGTGGCGAACATGAGCAGAACTTTTGCTTAAAGACACATGACCTTTAAAAGGTTGTAAATTAGGTCAATTAGTTTATTTGCCAGTTACGTATCGTACGCTGCTCAAAATGAAATGAAAAATACTTTATTTATCCCAGAAGGGAAATTCAATAAAAATGTAAAAATGTAACGGAAAAATCCCCTTAAAAATTCCCTTACATTTCATAAAAATGCAAGGGAACACTTGAATCATTGATATACACTGTGTAATTTATCGAGAACAAAATTACATCAGA